TTGGGGCGTGGTATTAGGGGTGGTAGGAGCCACGCGTAGCCCATAAGGCTAGGGTGCCCCAAGGCACCCATGGGTGCAGGATAAGACCCACGAGGGGTCCAGGAGTTTACGTGCCCAAGGAGACGCAAGGCAGCCTCCCAACCTTATTTAACAGCAAAGACGTGGCGGGCGAGATTCGAGGGTGCCCTTGGGCCGAATTGGCACGGGGAGAGGGCCTTAAGGAGATCACGGCCCTCCTAAAGGACCCCACCATGACAGGCAGCCTCCCACATTTATTTTAAAACATTCAAGTCGTGGCAGGAGATTTAGGGCAGACTACCCTAGGAAGGAGGGTGGGCCAACTTGAGATCCGGTCTCGAGTTTGCCCCGTCACACTATGCATCCCCAGCCTCAAAATCTTGGTCTCTCAAATGTCCCAATGTTCTTCCTAAAACCTCAGAAAAATCTGTGTTATTTGAGAGAATACATTAAAGCTCTAAAATGTAAACATGTTTCCACCTCAGTAATCTCAACCCTACTTAAAGCAGGAGTAAAGCACTAATAATTAACCTTCAACTCATACCTCACAACAGTGCAGCATAACATGACTATGCAGGTCCTACTGAAGGACTATCTTTGATAAGCATTAAAGTAACTTCTGAACTCTTTTAATATTCAGGAATCAATAGCTATACATAGATCTTGTGAAATCTTCTGGATACAAAAATAAAAAGTGTTTAATATGATTTTACATGATGTGACTGACACACTAAAAGATTGGAAATGATACTAAAAAAAAGTGTGTTATGTTAAGTTATTATGGTAAAGTTTATACTTACTGCCTCTTTAATCTCACAGGAAAAAACATGAATCTGAAACTCTTCTGTTCCACAACAGCTCTCAGTAAATGAAAAGCAGTCACACTCTGGAGTCCCATTTTGTCCCCGTGCGCAGAACAACACTTTGTAGATTGGGAAAGAAGCTATCTCCATATTGCTGGACTGGTCAATTATTCTTTTGGGGAAGAAGAGGGAGAAGAGGAGGAACAAACATAAAATAATTTAAATCAATCAATATTATATGAAAGTATCTACTGGCCTCTCTGTTACTGAATAAGCTACTGCCCCCAAAAAATACAACTAGTACTGAATAAAAGGACTCAAGATTTTAAAAGTTCAGAAAGTATAAAACATTTTTGATACGGTATAAGCCAGGGGTCAGCAACCTTCAGAGCTATGGGCCCTGCATGTGCTCCCCAACCACTGTCAGGGGCTGCCAATTCCCAAAGGCATGTGCTACCCAACCACTGTCAGGGGCTGCCAATTCCCAACACTCTACCTCTGCTTACTGGGTGTCATTGAAATGCCAACAGGGCACACTAATTCAGCAGCAAGGGCACAGAGCAGGCAGCTCTTTAAGTCACCACTTCAATGCGGGCCCTTTAAATCAGCTCCTTTCTAAATACAGATCATGGACTTGTAGCAAGAACATGCATCTTGCAGGAATATGAAACAAAGTTACTTGAAAGTTTAACTTCAGTTGGCACACCTAAAAGCTTCTCTTTCTAGAATGTGTACAAGGTTACCAATATAGCAAGCATGTTTTCCAGCTGTCCAAATATTTTCTATGCATACTGTAAAAATTAATTCTCTCAACTACATTGATTTCCTATTTTTATTTTTCCAGAGTGTGTTTAAACTTTTTCTTCATTTTATAAATCAAAAGCCCTTTCTTACATTCTGCTGTGTACTGCCTTAATATTTTGTCCTTAAATATACAGGAAATAGATCTAAGTTCTTCTGTCAAGTGGGTCAAAAAGTCCAAAGATCAGCCATAAATTTGAGTATAAATGATCTGCACGCTCTGTTTGAAGTCGGCTCAATACAGGTTTCCCTAGCTTTATGTGGGTTCTGTATATACAGATTTGCTCTTATGTGATGGCCCTTTTTATACCCAAAATTAGTTATATATGAGATAAATTCACTCTTATGCAATCAGCAGCAGGTACATCTGTGGGGGGAGGGGAAAGGGCCATGGGCAGGGGGCAGATCGAGGCCCCAGGGGTGAGGGAGGGACTGGGACACAGGCAGGAGCAGGGACTGGGGTGAGTGGGACCTCAATCTGCCCCACTGCCAGTGGAGAAGGAGGGCATGGGGCTGGAGCTGGGGCAGAGGCAGGACAGGGGACACAGCTCCTCCTGCTATGGGCTGCCACTGTGGACTGGAGCTGTGCCAGAGCCCCAGCTCCACTCCCTCCCTCACCACTAGCGGGGAGGCAGATCAAGGCCCCACCCACCCCAGCCCCTGGGGCCAGGCTCTTCACAGCAGGGGGGGTTGGGCCATGCTGTGCTTGGAGCAGGCGGTAGGGATGCTGGGAGGAGGGTCAGGGGGCTACAGCAAATTTTGGGCTGCTACTGTGGGCTGGGGCTCTTCCTGGTGGGGCCTGGGACAGGTGGTGCTGGGAGCAGGGCTGCAGGGGCAGGGGGAGGCTGTAGCAACCCCAAAATTCACCATAGCTTCCCTACCTCCCTCCCAGTGCCACTGCCACCTGCCCCAAGAGCAGCATGGCTCAACTCCCCACCAGGAAGAGCCCAGACTGGCCCCCAGCCCCAACCCACAGCAGCAGCAGCTGCACCCCTGTCCCATGCCCCGCCCCAGCTGCGCAGCACCTGCCTCAGCCCCATTCCTTCCCTCACCACTGGTGGAGAGGATCAAAGCCCCACTCTCCCCAGCCCCTGGGGCTGGGTTCTTCCCGACGGGAGTTGGGCCACGCTGCACTCAGAGTGAGCAGTTGCAGCTCTGGGAGAGCAGGTTGGGGGGGGCTCTGGCAAATTTTATTGTGGCTGCAGCCCCCCTCCACTATAGCACCCTCTCCCAGCCCCCCCACCGCCCACCCCAGCCCCCCCACACTGGGAATAGCCTAGTGCTGCCCCAGCCCCACCACACTTCCTTGCTGCTGATGCAATCAAGGTCTTGATTACATGGGCCAGGCAGCTATTTATTAGCTTGTAAAGTGCATTCCCTTTATGCGTATTCAAGTTATGCGCAGTTTTTCAGGAATGCATCTACCACAAAGCAAGGGAAACCTATAACTCATTCCCCTTTGCATGACCTCAGCACTCCTACAAAGGTCAGGTAATTCCCAAAAAATATATGATCACACTGGAAACACTGCCAAGGCACCACACCTTGTGATTTTCATTTAGAATACTAATATTTTACCATGCTGGAAAAATTAATTCATCGACAGATTCTGCCCACTCAACTTACTGAAATAAAAACAATGTTCCTTATGTTTGTTTCAAAACAAATGTTGTACCAGGGATATTATGGTAACCACAAAAAGAAGCTAGTAAAAAGGAAACTGGCAAAATATTGTTCATATTTAAAGGAAGAAAACGTCTTTAATAAATAATTTCATTTTGGAAAAATATCTCAGATATTAGCATTATATAATTGGGCCTATGCCTAACATGAATTTATATCTCAAGAAAAAAGTTAAAGAACAATATAGTTATAAAACCAAACACACTAAATAAAGCATATACTGCTTCCATTGAAATAATTTGGAATTTTAAGCAAAATTCAGAACTTAAGTAGGCACTGTACCATGATTTCATCATAAATAAAACTACATTTTTTAAGGTTATTGACATAAGTTAGATGCATTTCTTCACCTATGATTTTAATTACAGGCCTACACAACTCATCAACAATATAATCTTTACAACTGTCCTTTTATGAATAGATAATATTTTTGCAGTCTAGACAAACTAGAAATATAATAAGGCTCTGGACAAATGAGTTGTTTCCAGCATTCCAAGTACCTTTGGCTGGGGTGGACTACATCTACCAGCACAGACTTCAATTGTAGCAAGGTGACTTTTACTATGACCTTGCAGTCCTTGCAGAGCAGCAAAACTAGGTGCCAATTCCTCACATCTGGAGTTTCCCTTTTTGGGCAGCAGAGTCAGCATGGCCCTCTTGCATGATGGAGGAAGTTCCCCATCCTCTTTAGATCTGGACCACATTGCAGCAAATTGCAAGCCAACTACATCCCAGAACATGAAGTAAAACTCCACTGATGCTGGACTAGATAGACCTATGGTCTGACCCAGTAAATGGCATTACTTATTTTCTTTAAGACATTTGAGCATGATTTTAAGTATCCCAAACATGATGTTCTGGAATTTATCAAAATGTGACACTCACTGGTATCAACTTGAGATATTTTGTATTGACAGGCTGAATACTTATCTCATTATGTAATGCAGTCTACTGTTAAACACAACTCAAAATATACAGAAAAACAGAGTCAGAGCTGGCAAAAAGCATCAGAGATTGAATCAGCAAAACTGTCTCACAAACACTCTGAAATAAAGAGCTTTAATATTAAAAGATGTTGAAGATTTAAAATAAAACTTGTAAATTTTCTAGGGCTGTGTGAAGATTTGGTTGCTGATTTGATTCAAAGGAGATTCGGCCTGATTTGGCAGCCCCCAGAAGCACTTCTGGGTCCACCATGGAGCACATGGGGGACCTCCCCCCTGCCCCTTGACTCAGCGACTGGTGCCTCCTGGGTCGGGGGGGGGCAGCTGCGCACTTGGCAGCAGACCTGGAAGTGGACCGGAAGTCCACCTGTGGTCCTGTGGGACGCTACATCCACCCCACCATCTCAGCGCTCATAAGCCACGCCTGGTACCTCAAGGTATGTAGAAACAACATATAAAACGGTGTCTATGGTCAAATTGCCGATTCTCCAAATCAGAATCGAATCTTCAGATTTGGCCAAATCGAATTGGGACAGTGATCCAAATCAATAAATCGAATCATTGTCCCTTGAACTGGGCCAAATCCGAGTCTAAATCAAACATGGCCTGCTTCACACACCCCTAATATTTCCCCCATTAGGAAATTTTACTAACTAGGTTAAAATTCCTGGATTTTCAGTTATTTTGTCAGATTCTTTAGCAAGCTGAAAACTGATTTTTTGATAAATTAGCTTTTTGGGCCCATGTTGCTCTTATCTATTTCACTGAAAACACTGTGCTGGAAGAAGGTTGGAACCCAAGCTTTTTTTGTCCGTTTAAGTAGTAACTCCTATAGTTTACCTTACAGAGCCTTCTGGGACATTCGGAACATAGAGAGTCACGGGAAGAGGTGATTGGCTTGAGGATTTCATAGCGGCCATTGCACACTGCGCTTCTGGCTCATTGCGAGGGGCAGAAACCTTTCTACAGCCTAGGTATGTCAGTTTATTAAACAATACACTGTCCTCTTCAGGTGGTTCACTGGGGGAAGAGGGTCTGGGAGCAGAGATTTCTGAAAAGGAAGAAAAGAACAATTAAACTCCTACATTTAGTATAAATAAAGTATGACTTGCCTTCCAAATCTAAGAATGTAAACCTGAAAGAATTTTTCAGTATGCTAAAGTGAACTCCATGAAGTGCTAACCTAGACAAAAATCAAGAGGACATTGAATGGCATTTATGAAATGGCTGTAATGCAGTACATTTGTAAAGTGTTAGCAGTGAAAAAGATCCACACTGATTTGTTTAGTTATATAAACCTTTCTAAGAATACCTTTACATTTACATCAGCATCTTTATCTACTGACTGTGGGTCCATCCTGTTCAACAGTCAGGTTAAATACCTCAACTAAATACATTCAAGCTACCCTACCATTGCTGCTAAACTTGAAGCTAGTGGGCATACCAAACCATTTACCTCTCATCATCTTCACAAAGCCTCATCCACTGGATCCACTTCATAGTGGAACAGGTTTATCCTTTAACCAAGCCTGCAACAAAACACATCTGAACCCGTTTAAATCCACTTATATTCTCATAATACTTCATGGTTTACATCCAATTATGAGAAGTTTGTTATTTAATGGCCCAGTGTTCCAATGGGATTGTTAGAATGATCTTATAGCCATGATGGTTCCAGAATTATGCAAGGCAAGGATTTCTTTGGGTGGTGTCTTTTACTGGACCAGTAAAAAAAAAAAAAACCCAAAACTCTATCTTTGACTAGGTAGAGTTTGACAAGTTTTTGAATGTGAAATATTCTTCTTTTCCTAACACTGAGGCATTGCAGCAACCTCTCACAAAATGCTGAATTTCACCTTTAACATGTAATACCTCTCATATACTCATAAAACCTATATCTTTATGCATCTATACAGGGAAGTGTAAGTTCACACAGAGTTAAGATTGCTAACTCCTTACTGTCTGACAGCTGTTTTTCCAGCACACTCTAAAATTCACTTATTTGTGTTGCCTTGAACTCTACCTCAGTGGCACACGTTAATCAAAATTTAGGGTCATTTATCCAATTGCCTCCCACAACGAAAAGAATATTCTCCTAAAGCTGACAAATTCTATCATCTTTCTTGCAGACATAAGGATCAAACTATAGCTCAGATTTCACCCCAAACTGTCTGTTTTTCAACACTGAGCCTACTTAATTCTTGACACTAAGACCCCTTTGGGAAAGCAGTACAGAGCACAGTACTGCTGGGGTGGACCATGCAAATAATTGTATGTCTATTCTGTGCTGGTAACAGCATCTAGTTCCTTTCAGTTTTAAATTATAATAGATAACATTTTTAGATTCAAAGTTTTGGATGCTAGATTTCTAAGTATTATATGGAATATCTGCCTTTCCCTTCAGCAGATTCAGAATCCTAAGGGTCTAACCACAATCTTTTTGCCCCACAGGCCAGATGGGCATTGCCCAGTCCCTCCACAGGCCAGATGCAACAGTGAAGGGGAAAGGAGGCATGGTCCAGTCCCAGACTCCCATGCAGGGCTTGGGAATTTGGCAGCAGTGAAGGTGTGGCAGTATTAATTACCACCACTCCTCCACTACCAAATTCCCCAACTGGAGGAGCCAGATTTGGCCTATGGGCTTGGGCTACTATAGTTTCATAGTAGCTAGGGTCAGGAGGGACCTGAACAGATCATCTAGCCTGACCCCCTGCCACAGGCAGGAATGAATGCTGGGTTCACAAGACCCCACACAGGTGATCGTCCAACCTCCTCTTGAATTTGCCCAAGGTAGGGGCAAGGACCACTTCCCTATATGAAAGATATTACATGTTAAAGGTGAAATTCAGCATTTTGTGAGAGGTTGCTGCAATGCCTCAGTGTTAGCAAAAGAAGAATATTTCACATTCAAAACCTTGTCAAACTTGCCCCTACCTTGGGCAAAGTTCTTCCTCCTAATCCTGAACACCTTCCTCAGAGATGGTAATGTTAGGTTCATAGATTCATAGATGTTAGGGTCGGAAGGGACCTCAATAGATTATCGAGTCCGACCCCCTGCATAGGCAGGAAAGAGTGCTGGGTCTAGATGATCCCAGCTAGATGCATATCCAACCTCCTCTTGAAGACCCCCAGGGTAGAGGAGAGCACCACCTCCCTTGGGAGCCCATTCCAGACCTTGGCCACTCTAACTGTGAAGAAGTTCTTCCTAATGTCCAATCTAAATCTGCTCTCTGCTAGCTTGTGGCCATTATTTCTTGTAACCCCCGGGGGCGCCTTGGTGAATAAAACCTCACCAATTCCCTAAGTTCTGCATCTGTAAAAGCTAAGTAAAGGAACTAGGAGTAATTACTATTAACTGTGGCCAGCACGTTATTTAATTTTTCTTTAGTTTTACCAAAACAGATTTCTACCACCAGAGGTGACTAAATCTGGGCCACAGTTTAACCAGACATCTCCATGACTGCCAATTCTTCATCTGACTCAGATTGTTTGTTTTCTACATTGCTCGCACACTTATTCTTAATCCTCTTCTCCCACCCCTTTATGTCTGTAGGTACCAAATAATCTATTCCACATTGCTGGAATAGGTACCTTAATTCAGGGATGGCCAACCAGCAGCATGCATACCACAAGGGGCAAAGGAGGCCTCTGTGCGGGGCACATGCCAGATAAGGGAGGGGGGAAGCAGCACAGCAGCAGATAGGACAGGGAAAGGGGTCTTGTGTGGCATCTAGGGAGGGCACAGGCTTAATTTGTGGGACATCTGCCAAAAAGTTGGCCCTCACTGTCTTAACTGCAGATGAAGAGATTTTTCCTTTACATTCCCCCTTGAACTCACTGGTAAACTGGAGGCACCCATCTGAGACCAATTTTGCTGTTTCTTGCAGCCCTCCATGCACTAGAACAGGGGTTTTCAATCAGGGGTACGTGTACCCCTGGGGGTACTTTGGAAGGCTCCAGGGCATACGTGGAAATGGCGCAGAGAAGCTGGCAGCACTTCCGGTTTCGCTGCTGCACAGGGGACCTCCCCCTCCCCACCCGTTGACCAGCTGCCAGGGGACCCCCCTCCGCCCTGCTTCTCGACCGGCTGCTGGGGGACTCCCTGCTTCTTGACCAGTGGCCGGGGGGACCCCGACCAAAAAAGGTTGAAAACCCCTGCACTAGGAGAATGAGTCACAACTTCACTCAACCTCATTTTTCCAAAAAGCCAGAAGGCTGGTGCTGGTACCACATTAAAAGTGTGTTTAAAGTGGGTGGGAGGATTTTCTGCAAACATTGTTAATGTTAGGGAGGCAGGATAGAGTATTCTCACTGCATCTGTTTTCTTCACACCAAGACCCATTTCGCTTCTCCTTACAATACCAACCACAGACAGAAGTTCTCTTGCATTTCTACTTTCCCTGGCTGTAGTTCATTACTGTTTGTATATAATCCATTAAACTTGTAAAAGGGACTTAAAGAGAAAAGCCAATTGAAAAAAGGTCTGAAAACACTTCAATTTGTGACATATCACATTTACAGATACAGCTGGCAACAAACTATACAAGATACCTCTATTGCTTCCTTCACCCTGCTTGATATTTCTCTTACGCAGACCGAGGCTCAGGCAGTTCTTCCACTGACACAGTGACAAAATGAGAATCTTGATCGAGATGGTAATACAGAAATGGGTAACAAGACACAAATGATCTATTTTTGTAGTCCGTCTTGACCCATATTGGAAAAAAGACTAGTCTTCATTGCTTTGTCCAGTCTAATTTTAAACCTAAAAATTCCTAGTATTCATTTCAATTTTTCAGAACCCTGGTTCATGACCTAGATGCAACTTAACCAGTACCTGTAATAGAAGGGTCCAGAATTAGATGTAAAGATGGTGATGGGTGATTTGCTTGACAGGCTGACACATCTCCAGCTGCCTGATTACAAGGAACACTGGAGCTTTCATAGTCAGTAGCATAATTGTTTTGGCCTTTTTCAGAATCCCTCAGTATCTCTTCCATGGCTTTCTCCAATTGTTCATCTCCATTTGAAAATATCTGGACCCAGAAAAAGAGCAAATAAGGCAAAAGTAACAGATAGTTTTTCAGTATTAGTAAACAAGTACTTCAAAAAGTATTTTAGAACACACTGGTTTTTTCCAAAAGTTTTTTAAAATGTGGGCAAAAAAAAAACAACACACATGTAAAGTAGTTAAAACACACCCACACAACTCAGGTAGATGAAGACACAAGGCACCTGAAACTCACCCGTCTTCATTAAGTTCATCTGTCAACTAAAGCTAACAACATCCTATACACCTACATAGGTAGGGACCACTAGAATTCATGCCAGAAGAGAGCTATGTGGTGGCTCCTATAATCTTGCAGTTTCCCCCGTGCACCCCTTCCCACCACCACTGACTGGTAGAGGGGCTCCGTCAGCTCCGCTGCTTGTGACCAATAGCCAGAAAGTGAAAACCACAGTTTTAAATATATCATGGTTTTTGCCTCCCATGCAGTCAGCAGCAAGCAATGGGGCCACTGGGGCCCCTCCGCGATTCAGCCTCAGGAGGCAAAAACTGAGGCATATTTAAAACTGCAGTTCTGACCTCCCCACTGATCAGAGGCAAGCTCTTCTGCCAATCAGTGGTGGGGAAACATGCAAGAGAAGCTGCAAAATTAAAGGAGTCACTGCACAGTGCACTTCTGACATAAGTACCAGTGGACCCTATACATAGGTCATGACAATTTACATTTCCCAAATCTCTGTGATTATGTAGCAGTGATTATGTAGCAGTAATAAAAAGTAGCAGGAAAGTGACTGTATAAGAGTAATAAAGAGTAAGTAACTTCTACCCCCAGGCTCTGCGCCTGCAGCTCCACACACACAGAGGGGAAGCTCCACGCTGAACTCTGCTGGGAAGCAGGGGGTGGGTTTCCCTTCACTCCCAGCAGAGTCTGGGGCCTGCACAGCAGGGAGGGGACAGAAGCAGCTGGCTCCAGTGCGGGGCTTCCCCCGCTGCAGCTCAGGCTCAGGGAGCAGAGCTGCAGGGATAAGGCAGGCTCCACTCCCTGCCCCTGTGCAGCACTGGCCAGAGCCGGGCACGAGCACCTTGACCTCCCTTCCTGCTGCTGCCAGGCAGCTGAGCTCTGTGCTTCTGCTGCCCCTATGGGGGGAGGAAGAGGAGAGGAAAGAGTTCCCTCCAGCATGGAACAGAGTCTCCCCCTGCCCTGCAGAGGGAGGAGTGGGGGGGGAAAAGAGTCCCCCTTTGGGACTGGCCAGCATCCCATAGAGTCCCCCTGCCAACCCCACAACGATGGCAGGAAA